TCATTTGTTACCCGGAATTAAATTGTTCAATGTCACATCGTTCAAACGTGACCGATCTCGTGAAAAGAGCTTTTCATGTGAAAGCTTTGCCTATGATTCAATTTAATATGTAACATTATTGCGCATTACGTGCATACTATTGTACTGTTGAAACTAAAATAAACTATAACTTTAAATATAAATTTAAACTTTCTCTGCTTATATTATTCGAAAATTAATGTTAAATCAAGAAGAATTAAGATTATAAAATTATATTTAAGAAAAATTTAAAAAATTATTTATTGAATTGCAGATATATCTCATTAGGTAATTAGAAGCTAAATTTAATAATAATTCGATTATTAGTTTTGAAATCGAAACAGGCAAAACTTCCGTCTAAACAGTTTGAACTATTAATATTCAAGTCATAATATCAATAATTTATTACTTATTAAAACGATATTTTTGATATTTTTCAAAATATTGGTTTCTTGAATTAATATTCTTTTTTTTTTCAAGAATAAAATTATTTATATCATATTATTTAATAATTAAATTTCAATTTTTAATATTTATTCAGTATATAACGTCACATAACATGGTCTCGTCTATAAGTTTAAATAGAAAAGATTAAATAGTATCTAAAAATCAATTTTCGTTGAAAGTAAGATTTTATACTCTCAATATATATTTTTTAAAATTTCACAAGGAATAGGAAAATTAAGAATATAAAAGAAATATAAAAAATTTCTTTCCTGGAAAATTGATATCACGTTTTAAATGTTAATCATACAAATAATTCTCGTTTACAATTTTCATATTTTCTAGCGCAATACTTATTATCATTGGATCTAATATTTGGAATCGAGAGATTTTACCGATCAATCGGATGCCCTCCATTCGATCCCTCAAAGTTTAACTCTAATCATTGATTATTTCCTAACGATTAATACTAAAACTACGCGATAACCACACGATTTTATGATCAACGACGAAGAGGAAATTACTTTTTGAGGGAAACCAAATATTTAAATGAAAATTATTTATCGACTGTCGATAAATCGATCTGATCCGGAGAAAATTTTTGAAATTTCGGGAATATTTCTCATGTTCGTGGTTTCAGTTCTCCGTTAGCTCGTTACATATTAACGAGACCCGAAAAGACATTGACTTTTCTTCTCTTCTTTTCGTTAAGTACTCGAAAAATTCGATAAATATATCAGATTCATCTCATAAATAATACGAGTATTTTTTGTTTCGAGTATTTTTATTATGAATATTTTTATATAAATTAAATTATTTTATAATATTAATTATTTATATTTCTTAAAATTTTATTTTTTCGGACAGTTCTCCATTCATTTACAAAGTTTTCTATATCTTTTTTGTTCTTTAATTTATATTCAATATTATAATTTTATAATACTCGCATTATTTGTGAATTGGTTTGAAAATATGTATCTTTTACACAGTTTGTTTTAAAAGTAAGTGGATTATTCTTATAGAAATATTTTGAAAGTAATAGTTTTTAAAAATATTCTTATAAGAAGTTATATATGAAAACATTGTTATTTTTTTTTTTTTTTCGTACAATATTGGTTATCTTTATCTTTTAGAATATTTTCAGTTATAAAAAAAAGTAACAATCCTTTGTATTATTTTCAATTTTTAATTTTATATTTAATAAAGTTATATCCAACTTTACAATGATATTATTTCAATATCATTATTATATCAAATGATTTTTCGTTTTAATAGAATATTTATTTTCACTATTATAGTTGAAAAGAATTACAAATATAAAATTTCTGACTTTTTTTGAACATTATATTTTATAGCTTTAAACCGACAATGTGAAAGTATATCAATGAATTTTTTTAATATAAAATATTTCAATAAAATATTTTATAAATTTCAAGAATTATATTTTATTTAAAAAAACATTGTGTAAAATTAATGATGTACTGATTTAAATAATAAGATTTAATAAATTAATCTTATTTAATAATTTTCTTGCCAAAACTATTGATTCGAGTTAGAGAGAAAATGGTTTCATTACTTTTGAAACAAACCATGTATAATATTATGTACATATTGAGATAAGATATATTATAATTTTTTGTTATTTTTACATCGTAGGAATATACTAGAGGAATTATAAAGTTTATTTAATCATTACGTTACAATGTTTCCAAAGATTATAATCATTGGAATCATATAATACGTTCTGTGATATGAGAAAATTTATATTAACAAATTTTGACAATTTTTGAGTGTAAAAAACTTAAATCATAAATTAAAAACCAGAATTATATTTGAATCCTGACATTTTGATCTTTCTTTATATGTAACTTGCTAAAAAAATTAATAGAAGAATATTTTTATTTGTTCGATAAAAGTTTTATTTTTGGTTTTTATCGTGGGTCACCAGTGACTCATCTGACGAATACTCATCATTAATACTTCACTCGAATTTAGAATATCAATAAATTCTACGAGAAATAAACGTGATATTTCCATGATTAATTTTCATAATAATGTAATAATTATTAAATCTAAAATTCTTTATTCTATTCTAATTTAGAAAATTTAATTCCTCTTAAAATTTCTCCATTAATTTATCTTCAATTTCAAAGATACAATGTACAATAATTTATTATCATAAATACTTTTATATTTTTAAAAGAGAAAATTAAATTTTTATGTATTCGATCGATATGTTGTACATATATCTATTACTACAACATCAACAATTCAAATCTTTAGGTGAATCACACATTCATGGAATATAATTTGAATACAAAACTTGCTATCAGTCACTGTTGATTGACATTGATGCGTAACACGTTATTATTCTCAAATTTTTCGTATCAAAATTCATTGAAATGCAAACATCGACATCTATTGAATTTCCACTTTTCATAAATACCATACAATTTTCTTTCTAATTTTTAAAAAATTTTTAAGATTAATCATCGTTAGCGATCGTATCATCGATGTAACTTGTTCTAACTTGTTCTGAAATTTACTGCAATACCTTAGAATCTTTAAGAAACATTGTAACGCGTTAAATTTACGATAGAACGATTTCTTATTGATCAATTGATTTGAACAAAAAGGAAAAAAGAAGAAGCACAAAAAAAAAGAAAAGGAAGAACAGGAGTTGCATTATTGAATGTCGACGAAGATTAAAGGCTAAAATTAAACTGAAAAAAGTTCAAAGGGAATCTTGAATTGCCCCGTTCCATTCAAAGTGATGTCGTCCGGAAAAGGGAAGCAATATCTAAAAATGTCACGTGTACGATCTCATACGCAAAAGAGATTAGAAAATTTAAGCTCATTCTTGAAAAATTGAAATACGTTTACTTTATAATCGATACTTGATTTTAATTTTTAATTACACCGGTAAAAATACATTTATTAAACGCATATACGAACAAATTTGCGTTCATCAGAATAAAATATCATTTTCAAAGATTTCGATCGTTTTCGTTCCTCTTACTTCTTTTATTTTTTCAATCGATTCACGTTTAAATATTTTATGTTATTCTTTGGTATGTACACGAATCAACGAGAAAATAGTTGGATTAACGTGTGAAATAGAATTTTTCTCGCTCAATTATAACAAGAACATCTTCGAAGAGAATTAAATTTTTATCAAGATAATTATTATAAATCGTAACGAGTAATCGTATAGAGAATAACGATCAATATAGTATATAAGTGATAATTTAAATATTTTCCCACGTATCTCTGTTTTATCTGTTAATAGTTAACACATTCGAGACTGCGCGTAATGGAGATTTCCTATTTCATGGCGATTGACGCGTACAGTCGCATTATAAATTTTTCCAAAAAATATGAAAGATGATAAAGTTTTCTTTCATATCCTTTTTTGGCATACGTGTTCAATATAAACGTTGTCATCAGTTCAATATGTTCATCATCATCATTTTGGATTTTTCGTTTTCATATTTCGTGATTATTAAAAATCAATATCTAAAATCCCTTTCGATTTTGATTAAGAATAATATTATTTTATAAGTTAATATAGTTTCATAGTTAAGAATAATATCGTATTGTTTCGCAATTCGAATAAACATTTATCTTTAAGAAATTTGAAAAACTTTCACGTTAAGGAACATGTTCTATACAATAACTATCTTAAAATAAATGCGGAACTTTTCTGTAGTTATCGATGAAATCGAATTATGACATTTATGTTCATTCGTTCTTCGTTAATTTCTTCCCTTCATTGATCAATCATTTCAATATCGAGTATTTATTTATTACGATTTAGAAATATCGAGAAAATTATTATTGAGAAATTATTATTTCGTTATGTATATTTTCTATTTTCAGATCTTTTACTTAAAATCTAGTAAAATATTTCTTAGAAACATTTACACGCCGATACGAATATGACTTGTGATTTTGAAAAGTGCAAAATTCGTATATTATAATCGGCAACTCGATCGGTAAGGAAGTTACACAAACACGCATCGAAATCTCCGAACAATTGGAACGATTCGAAATACATCTCGATTCTATTGAGATGATAGATAAGATAAGAAATTACGGTATTATTGTAGTTAATACGTATTCACGACGATTCAACACGATTTCAAAGTATTTTAATCTCTTTTCGTTCGATTTAACGATTTTTATTTCGCGCAAACGAAGAAAAATCTCCGTGAAACGAGAAACAATCGCAAGAACTCTTTTTTCATCGCGGACCGATTCCTAAAAAAAGAAACCAAAAATTTTTGGTCATTGAATGGAAATTTTTAAATCAGATTATATAATCACGATGGACGATAACAAAGATGGCGATGGATTCGATAGTTTTCGCAGTAATGTTTGAGTCAACAACTTGAAGAAATAATTTACGATTATTAAATTGCAGATAGAAGAGAAAGAGAGAGAGAGAGAGAGAGAGAGAGAGAGAGAGAGAGAAAGAAAGAAAAAATAAACATGGGAATAAAAACAGAAAATAAAGAATTACAAAGAAGGAAAATAATTTATTTGAAACGTCAATTTAATTTAAATTTAATAAAATTCAAATAACAAAGTCAACAGATTTTCAATTTAATACTTGGTAAATTTAAAATTCACTTTAATTAAGAAAAAAAAATTTCGTCCTCTCAGCTTAACTTAAACAATCGAGACTAAGGCTTTATATAAATTAAATAAAAATTTTCAACTAATACATTAAAGCTGCTCAGCGTGATTTAATTCTAGCTTCCGCTTTCTCATGCTTCTTTTAAATCGACGTGGCCGACGTTCATCGCGCGAAGGACCACGCTCGCTCTCGTTAAGTATAATAGGGACATTAAATACAGTGGAAATATCGATATCATTCGCTCGATGTACGTGGCTCATTTTCTCGGGATAAAATTACAAAGGCATCGTGATTACACTACATATAAAAAATAATCAGAACAACAGTATCTTACGCACGAAGGCATTTCTAGAATCGATTCACCATCGTTATTGGATACCTTCAATTCTCTCTACTGGTATACTTACAATCTAGTTTACTTGATACACGGCAGGTATGCGCATGCGCGATCTCCTTGCCGCGAAACTTCTCTAAACTCGATCTATAACTCGATCGCTTAAAAATATCAGTTTTAATTACAGAGGATAAGAGACACAACGAGGAGTGGACACGCGCGAATATCGATATCTCTCGATCCGTTCGAATTCGATTTCCTATTTTTCTCTCCTTGTTCCCCCCTTCCTCCTTTCTTCTTTCTCCCCCCTATTACTTTCAACGTTCAAAATTAGCTAAAATTCGAAGCTAGGATTCAAGTCGAAAACTTTTTAGATTCGTAGAAAATCTTTTTTTTTTTTTCTTCTTTTTCTTTTATACGTTGAACATCGATCGTACGTCGGTTAATTGATAAGAGTTAAGTTTTCTCCATACGAGAATTATGAATGATATATACAACTAGATCGTGAAATCGTTGAATCGTTTCACACGAATCCTTTGGATCGTGTGAACTTTTTTCCTCTTTCATTAATTATAATAAAAATATGTAGATCGTTATATAATTGAAAACGAGGGATTAAAGATCCCTTGAGAAAAGCGCGAGAAAAGAGATATATATACGCGACACGCTTGATGAAATAAGAAACTATTATTCTCCATAATAAATTTGTCGAGGTGGTTATTTAAATACTTGAACGTTAACGCGAATCTAGTCGAGAGTATTTGATATTAAACATTCGTGAACATGGATTCGCGAGTGTCCAACATGGATAACTTACCTCGTATATATCTACATGTATATATATGTACATATATATATGTATATATATACATATGTACATATATATGTACATATATATATATATATATATCATTGTGGCTCCACTTTGTTCAACGATCTCATCATGTCCATAGGACGAATAATGCTCGAAGAAGTAACTATATATACGTTATACGATATAATTCGACAATAAAATTAGAATAGTCTAGTAATAGTATAATAATAAGCGACGATAGACCGTCTTTTTTTTAAGAGCTAATTGGTGTTCGTACGTTGATCCCCTTTTTCATTTTGGTACCGAGTTATGATAATTCTTCTTCCCGATCTCTTATCCTTTTTTATACTATTGATCGCCGATTCTTCATCCGATCTCTGCTTCTTTTCATTTCTCAATCGATTAATATCGCTTAAATAGGTGAACATCACTGCTTGGTACATCAGAGATTTTGTTTCTTTCGAATTTTTAACGCGATCGGTGTATAGCAATGGATAATGGAAACTTTAAGTCGTGTTTACATGTTTACAATGCACGAATTCCCAAATAAAATTCTTAGGAAATATCATTTTTTTATGATTTAAAAATTATTATGAATTACTTTCGAATCGAAAAATATAGAAATATAGAAATATAAATGATTTTCAAATATAAATGAAAGAAAATAAATTACTTACGTAAAAATGTATCTTGAATTCAAGATTCTTGGTTTGAAATATTACAGATTGAATATGTTTTTTTATTAATTTATATCATTATAAAAATATGCAATATCATTTTGAATCAAAAAGCAATGCAAACGTGATTTAAGTTTCCACCGATTCATCGACTGATTGGCACATTTTTTCTTTAAATCGACGTTATTCTTTTTTTTTTATCAAAATTCTATAATTTTATTTAGATATTATAAATGATTCACGAAAACAATATATCTAACAATTATATTTCAGATTATACAAACACATTAAATTATATCACACCGATCCCATATATGAAAATTCGAAAGTATTTTCCAACTATCCAATTTTTTACATAACTGTCCATTTCATTTTCCATTTTTCTTTAGCTTGTATATCCAATATAAAATCACGTGTATATACGCGTTTTTCCATGTATATCCAAGCAGTGGCAAGAAGTGCAACGAATGTTCACGGACAAGAATAAAACAGCATCGTGAAGAAATCTTTTTATCTTAAGAACAATAAATATTATATCAGTATTTAATGTACGTAGAAAATATATGTATATGTATAATATATATGTATATTAACGCGAGACTTTTTTTTTTATAGAAAAAGATATGTATATCCAATGCAACGAGGTATCCTAGAACAAGCGGAGAGAACAATATAACGAGATATTAAAGTGAACGCTTGGGGATACCAGCAGAGTCGGATAGAACTTCTTTCTCTTCGATAAAATTCAACAAATAACCGATAAATATATTTCATCTTCATCCTCCGATTATCACGCGATTATAACAAAATTTTTCGAATACACCTCTTACGAATAACCTCTTCGAATCGAAAATGAAAAAATCTTATCCGAACAACGATCGTAACAATGCGCACAACGTGCATAAAAACAAATTTCTTACGTGAATCAACGATCCTCTAATAGTCTCAATATAGATCTAAATAACTGGAACGAAAAAATTCTGCCCAACTCTGTGAACACTAACCTTATATACTTATGCATCCTTTGCATTTAAGGAAGATGATGGCGCCACTAGTCGCGAAAAATGTAAAAATCTGTGTCTACGTTATTATGGAACAACAACGCTACAAATTCAATACAATAGAGATAATTTACTTAATAATCTGTCAAATATTTATAATCTGTCGTAATATTTAGAAATGGAAACGTAGAAAAATATAAAATAAAAATCATATAAACGAGAATACAGTGAAGATTAGTCTTTATGATGTTTAACTATAATTAAATTTCCGATTAAATCATTTTCCTTTAATCCTAATCTCTCACTAATTCGGTTTCTCTTCTTGGGTCATCTCTAAGAAAATTTTCATATTTTTAAAATTCATACGATACGAATACGATTTTTTATAACAGCAATATCCCGAATGAGCAAAATTCTTTTGCCGATAATTCCTGTTTCATCTGCACGCGTGTTATTTCTCGGCATTCTTATTGTTACAATTAATTTCAATTCAAAAAAAATCGGTGAATATAAACATTTACGTGATTTCTTCGTTGGTAAGACGAGACTCAAAAGACAATAATAAATAATTTTCTCGTCTAATTGGAGTACGATTTAAAAATATATATATATGTATATATGTATAGAGGTTCTTAATCGATCGAAAAATTTCTAATCTCACGACACGCGTATATACGTGTTATGTGTATATCTAATTTATCTATACAGAATGTAATTAATTTACATGCTCGTGGAAAGGGATCTCGAAGCTTCGACGAGAAAGGAAATGGAGAGCACCTTAATAAATATACGTCGACATCGCTAATTTGCCGATAAAAGGAATAATCGAGTTATCACATGCGACTTACGCAAAAAACAGAGAAAACGAACGTGTATCATATGATGACCGTTGTTGGTGACGATCGTTGTTCGTTCACACCTGGATCATTTCTCTTGATGTTCCTACACACTGGATCAATTCAAGCCCTACTAATTAAGGGCGGAGGTCAGAGGGAGTTCTCCATTTCTTCCGTTGTCAGCTGGAACTGCTCTTGACCTATATATCAATAAAACCGATATACATATGAATAAAACCGATTTAACCGTTCGTCGGAACCGTTCGGGCAGTGGAAAGGATTTCAGTTTGATAGGATGTTTGATCGAATGGCTAATGAAAGTCGTATATAATATTATGGATGAAAAATTCTTTCTCTCGAATGGAGAACGAATGACAAATAGGTCCTTAAAGAATTTTATGTATTCTTATTATAAGTGTTCAAATAGCGAGAGCTTTTTATGTATCAAAAGATCACGAGATATAGATCGTTAGATATATTATTTAATTTTAATGTGCAAATTCAATTCTTAATTCATTATCTTCTCTTTTAATTTTTAAAAAAATTTTTTTCAAATTTTTATTTTGCTCTTTGAATCATTATTTTAATGAAAATATCTTGTTTTTTCTTTACGAGATCAAAGGAGATATCCTTATACTTATGAAAAGTGGTGTAGTAATTTATTTGAGTTTCTAATGGAAAAAAATTGTAAAGGAAATATGCAGCCACGAGAAATTGATATAATACTTTACTCCTTGAAAACCGCTTTTAAAAATACTTGTAAAATTATTTGAGAATATATTTATTACTTGTTTGCAAAAAGTTATATCAAGAAACAATAAAAAGTTTTGCATTATAAATCTGAAACTAACTTTAAACTCAAAGTATAAAATTTTTTTTTAATTCATACATATAACATATATATATATATAATCTAAAATAATAATTTTTTGAGATAAAAAATAAAATATCTTACTTAAGAAAAAGATAAAGATAAGATTAATAAATTACAATCTTTGGAATAAAAATATTTCATTCTATAAAATATTATGTAGAAAAGAATAGAGGAATAGAAAAAAAATTGCTTAAGCATTATCTGATTAAATTATTAATTCAGAATCTTATTTTCTCTAATTGATCCTTATCCTTTAGTATTCTTCATTTCTTGTGCTATTACAGTCTTCGCTTAGCTGCATCGTATATTTTTTCACACGAGCATCTAGAAAAAGATCAAAACACTCACTGCTTAAATACGCTGCGAGGTCACGGTCCTCTGCTTGTAGGGCTAGATCGCGAGGTGAGTTGCCGTGTCGATCCTTGATGATTAAAGTAGCACCACCAGCTACCAACATGCAGCAAATGGAACGACGCTTATATTGAGCCGCTTTGTGCAGAGCGGTCTGACCTCTGTAATTAGAAGGTACAAANATCCTTGATGATTAAAGTAGCACCACCAGCTACCAACATGCAGCAAATGGAACGACGCTTATATTGAGCCGCTTTGTGTAGAGCGGTCTGACCTCTGTAATTAGAAGGTACAAAGTTTTCTTTTTTTTTCCCTCGTTTCCTTTTTACGCGCCAAAAATAAATTTTCTCTTTAATTCATTATAGCACGTTCTAAACAGATTTATCGAAAAATACAGAAAATTTTTTAATTTAAGCTGAGTCATTTATATTAAATATCAAGTTAAATATTAAAACTTTAAAGTAAGTTAGAGAGCCATTTATGATGCTTATATTTCTTCTTATCTTTTCTATTTTTCTTTTCCTTTTTTTTTTTTTAATTGAGCAAACAGTTGGTATAGTGTATTAGCATAGGCTTACTTGTCATTGTCGATCATATTCAGAATAGTCGGTGGTGCACAAGCGATGAGATATCTGACAATATTTTTATGACCATATCTCGAGGCTAAGTGTAGAGCAGTTTGTCCAGTGGAGTCAATTGACAAAAGGGAATATCCTTTCTCGTGAAGTTCCTTCAAAGCTTGTAGATCGCCTATTTTTGCTGCTTTCAAAATACCATCACTGGTTTTCTCCAATAATCCCGTGTTAAAGGTGTGAACCTCAGAACTCAAACCAAAAAGTCTATCTCGTGGACTGTAACATAAATTAGCCACTCAAAGAAATAATTTTCTTGTTATTCTATGACTATGAGTTTTATTTAAAATTATTATAAATGTACAATATTCTAAAAGAAAAAGATATTTAAAAAGTTACTTGTTGTAGTAATTAACAAATGAGATAAAAGAGATGATAGAAATAGATGTTTCCTCAAAAAAAAATGGTTTCTTCAAATATTTAAATAGAAAAATTAGAGAAAAAAACTTGAAAGTACACTAATAGATATCATAACTAACATTCCTTTATAATAAATAATAAAAATCATTCTAAAAATCGAATTATTCTGTGGAGAAGATTAAAGTATAGTATATTAAGACATTCCTTTTAAAATAGATTTCTTTCTTAAAAGAAATAAGGAATAATAAATGGCCAGCAATATAACATTATATGAAATAGAGATTTCAAATTTGATTTAAACGAAGCATTTCCTTACTCCTTTTAAAAAAAAATTCTCAAAATAAAAAATATATTGAAGTGAAAATAAATATTTCATTATATGATTCAATTTATATCACAACATTCATCAATTTTAAAAACTACATATTTGTTGCAATATTACTTACATAAAATTTAGTTAATTAACATAAAAAAATAAGAAGAATACTTTACCTAATGAAGGTGGGTGGTGCTTGATGTTGCGACTGAGAGGCAACCGTCGCAGAGATCGATTTTGAGGAACTGCTTTGTTTGGTCGCGTCTCCAGATATGTTCCCCTCCTTTTTCATATTTGGAGATACATCCTTAGACGTGTTATTACTCATCGGTTCATGAGATTTCGGAGTCACGACCTCTGTCTTTGTTTCAGTTGATGTTTCAGGTGGTGCATTCTGCGGTTCCGTATCTGCCTGTGCTTTTGGTTCTTCTTTAGGTTGCGCCTTTGGTTCTTCTTTAGGCACCTTTTGCTCTTCGTTGGGCTGCTCTTTTTGCTCTTCTTTGGGCTGCTCTTTTGTCATGGCTGCACTTTTCTTTGTTTGTTCTTCGCTATATTACACGTTCTTTCTATTAATCTAATGATACGATTCCATTACCATTACAGATATCACGGACGAAAGTGTGAAGTGGCGATAAAAGGTTCAAACAAGGTATTATTTTGAAGTTACGAGTCATAATTATGTAACTTCGAATCATTGTTTAGATCACTGTATACGGAACTATTCAATAATTTCTCTGTGAACAATATACATAAAAAATAAATAGGTGAACTACTATGTTATATAGATTAAATATTGTTCTCTGTTTAAAGAAAATTGACCGTTTAAAACCACTTCTGTAATTTTATTTATTTTAAATGTTTCAATTATGTTCATGCATATATTAGAGTATAAGAATTTATTTAATTCTATTTATTAATTTAATTAACAAAGACAAATATTAACCACAGTGCAATCCAATTTATGTAAAATGTACTAAGAATATGAAATAATTAATATATAATTATTAATAATTATTATAATAATTATTATAATAATTAATGTTTCCATGCAACAGAATATAAAGAGCAATAATACAAATAAAGATTAGAAACAAAAATAAGATAATAAAATTATCGAAATGCTATGATATTGTTCAATGGCTCTAAACAGTCAATCTATGTTAAACAAAGAATAAAATTAATTTGTAACTGACGTCGTTTCCACTTTTGTTATATGAACAGTATTATAGGATTTCAGAAATTTCAAAAAAAAAAAAATTCAATATTATCAAGTTTAAATTTTTGTTCAATATATGTTAAAGAAGATAGTTTTGCATATTTTATTTAAAAATATTAAGACTAAATTTAGTAACTTATAATATTATTTATTATATCTATCATTACTTATGACATGCAAATTAATCCCTTGCACTCCAGGCCTGTTTCGCTTGGTCCACCAGCAACTCCAGACTTAGACCCGCGCGTTTGGTGCGTTCGATGGCCTTATAAGATTACCATAAGATAATTACTCATAAGATAAGATTACACCTCATAAGATTATACGTAAAGAGCTTAGAAACCTATTTATGAAGCGATATTCTAAAAAAATCAAACATAAATAAATATCGCCGTTCAAGTTGCCGCAACAATCCAGTGGTAAAAACCGAGAGTCACCATTGGAAAGCAAAGGATTAATTCTTTCATCTTTTAAAAGTCATAAAATAACAAAAAAAAAAAAATCAAATATTAAAATCTTTCAAATTATACGACGCTGATTACAAATTTTAATCAACAATTAATACATTGCTTTACTATAAACAAATATGAAACATACAGTATTAAGAAAAGGACTATCTACGAGAACAGAATTATAATGAGTAATCTACTGTAAACGTGAAAAAAAAGTTTAATTCGATAAATAAAAAGAAGTACCTTGATGATACGTTAGTTTCCGATTTTTGAGTCACAGATATCTTCGATTCTTCGGATTCGTTCGATTGATTTGCGTTCTCTTCGAGAACGTACACCGTTTCGACAGCTACATCGGTCACGTAATGGAGTTGTTCTTGAGCTTTATCGATTCTGAAGAATCGTTCCGCAGTGCATGCTGAAAAATTATTCGAATAATATTGATAATATAATTTCAAGCCATATTCATTCTAATATGAATTTTTAATCGTTAGTTATTATACCTTAAATAATTATTAATTGAATTTGGACTACGTAAGCAACATAAAGTTATAAAAAATATAAATTCTAAAATTGTTTTCTCTAACAAAATATGAATGAATTTTTTAATTGACATCAAATTTTTCTAAATTGTTCTAAGAAAACAAATAAAATAAATTTGATTAACACAGAATATATAAAGAAAATTTATAAATATGTAAAAATGATTATTATAATTACAACTATCTATAATATTTATTTTATAAGAATCTATTGGCAATTGGATTCATAATTTAGATACATTTATTTATGATATAAAAATATCATATATTACGCTTTAAAAATATTTTAATTTAAAAAAGAAAAAGAACTTGAAAAACGTTTAACAATTACATTATTACTACTTAGATAGTTCATTTTAAAAAGAAGTTGAAAAACATTTAACAATTACATTATTACTACTCAGATAAATCATTTTAAGAAACTTTCTTTGTAACAGTTGTCACAAGCGGCTAAAGAATCCTGTAAATGGCTGGAACGGAAATTCTGTACAGCGATACTTACAATCGAGGAAGCAACAAGTGTCCATGTTATAGTCTTTCGCCAGGATCTTTCTTAAAGATTCTAAGTCTGTGGTAGCGTCAAGATCAAGAGGTTCCATAATCCACGTGATAGCGGATTTTTTTAACATATCCTTATCATGATGATATCTCTCGTAATCTGACATCTTGATCTTCATCACCGGCAATTTTAATCTTTCCAGTTTGACGTCTTGTTGCGGTTTGCTCGAACTTCTTCGTTTCGCTAACATTGTTGCCTTATTTAGTAATTTTAGATTTATGATAGATGGTAACAGTCGACAAGCCTCGCCATCGACCTAAAATAAGAATAATAATTTTTTTCTTTGATTGTATAAATCGTAATCGAACATACAATTGAATCATTAAATTATAAAACAATTTTATTATCGTATATAAAATATCTCGCGATATCCTTGTATTTATTGAGATAATTTTAATTATAGTTTTAATAAATAATTAGTATTTTCTGTAACCATATTTTATTATGTTGTAAGTCAGATTAACTTAATAATAATTAATTTTTTCTATTTTCTTTTATTAATTTTTATAACCCAAGTAAGTAGTTAATTACATAATAAATAATAAATAATAATATTCAATCTATTATTATAATTATAATTATAATTACTTCTAATTTATTTCGCCATTCTTTTTTGTATCACACTATGTAATTATTTAAAAACTGTCTATGTTGTAATTTATGTATATATGTTAATATATACATGGGATATTTTTAGAATATAAAGATCAAAACAAATACAAAAATCACTATAAAAATATCGGTTAAAAACTTATTTATTAAGTTATAATTAATTCAGATGAAACAAGACAGAAATAGTGAGATCTCTCTGTGAAATCATTCTATTTTTATCTCGCTTCATCTGACGAAAACTTGCATTGTTTATAATTAGATTGCCGATATTTATATATTTATGCAAAATTAGAATGTACAAAAATATACAAAATATATATAACACTCAAAAAAACATGAAATAGAACTATGATTACGATATTTAAGAAATAAAATAAATTTCTATTTAAATTATATTTCATTGTCCATAAAAATTTGATTTTGCAAAAAAATCTATAATCTATTTAATTAATCTAATAGTTAATTTAATAATTAATATTTATATAATACATCTAACTATTATATTAATTATATTACTTATTATATATAATATAATATATATAAGTCTTAACCGATATTTTTGTATGCCAAATTTTGTTTTTATTTCTAGTCTCTAAAATTAACTCTAAAGATATTTCATAAATACATATTAATATCTTGTATATTGTTAAACACGAACAATTTTATAGAATATTATTATTTAGACAAAATAGATCTCTTGAATATTATTATTTATTTATCATTAAAATTATATTCCATATTCAGTAGCACAAATTTTATATTATTTTATATTATTATACAATATTCTTCAATATTACTTACATTCTATATATTAGATAGTGATATCCATTTACGTTTTTTTATAATAACAAAATTATCATGTGTAACACATTCAATATATTTCTATAAATTTAAATTAATTTCCATAATGTTTACATTTTTAATAAAATCAAGACAAAAAAAAAGTAAAATAATTATATAAAATATTCATTCATACATAAAATAAAAGTACGATACATATAAAATAAAAGGAAATTTACCTGCATTGGAATGGTCCTCGTGGTAACTAGCTTAGCTGTGCTGCATTGAGCAATGCACGTACCATGGCCACCTGCTTGAAGAAGCGGAAGCTGGTACGTGGTCAAACCGACGACCTCGATCAGTCCATCTTCCGTCGATGGTTCTTTGGTTCCGCTCGCGCTGCCCCAAGGATGAGTTCCACCACCGTACGAGGCGATGTTCAAGAAAACTATGGCGTGAACACGATGCTCCTTCAGTTTCGGTGTCAAATCTTGACCGTCGCAGTCCAACATCACAAATTCCGACAAATCTTTCCACTTCCGTCGCACGAGATCCTTACCGCCCATTTGACCGTAAAACATTTTATTCCGTAACCGTGAATTAAACCTCTCTGGATGCGCCTCTATAACACAATCGAATTTTTTTATTCTTAGTTTTGCTCTGCGTTATAATTATTTTATTGTTTACAATTGGCAATTAAAAATAGTATAAATATTTCGCTACTGTTATTTTTAATTAATAAATTTTAGTTAGTAAATTATTTATTTATATTTAAATATTTAATAGATATTAGTATTAAGTATTATATACAAATAATTAGGTAAATTTATTCTTACATCTCGAATTTATTCTTACATCTTGAAATTCATAAGTAAAATATTATTGTTTGATAAGTAATGTGGTTTCTTTAAAAAAAATTTAAAATAAAAATAAGAGAAAAATTGCGATATTATTTAATATGAAAATTAATTTTTCTTATAATTATATTATAAATTATGTTATGAATTTTCAAAAAATTCTTTTCACAATATTTTAATATATTTCATTATAAAACTGTATTATTAGGTAACTAATAAAATTTTTTTTTAATATAATAAAAATATGAGAAATGTAGAAAAAGATTTATTTATGAAAATGAATATTCATGAAAACAAAGTTAATAAAATTTAGATTGTATATAGATAATAAAAAAAAAACTATTATAATCAAAAGAAATAATAAAAATATGCAAAAAACTTACATTTTTAAATTTCATAATAATTTCTTTAATATACAATATGTCTGTTAATCAGAAACGTTCAAATATCTGATAAAATATGAACAATATTAAAAAATATTTATAAAAAGATATATTATGTAGTATTAATAATTTTCTATAGATTGGAAAATTTGTATGAAAATCATTTTAATTGAAATTATATAATTTTTATTGTATTAATCAATGCAGCTCGTTATTTTCTACAAGAAAACAATTTTGTCGAAAAACAAAATGTTGAAAAATCTTTATTTCAGAAGATATTTTAATTTAAAATTTAAATTAATTAGAAACTTATAAAAGACAAAAAGAATATAAGTAGAGTATTGCTACTTGTGTTTCTTCTCTTTTATATGATAAGTTTTAGAAAAATCAAATTATTTATTATTATTTATTAAAAACTACAATTATAATTTTATTCAAAAATTAAAATTGATTTTATGATTTTTATCCATCAATTTATAAAAAAAATATTAAAACTCTATGATACATCTTTTATACCAACTTTTGTCTAAAACATTTTTTCATAATATTCTATCATTTTTCCAGATATTTAAATATTTCCAATCAAATAAAACATATTGCTATTTTTCTATTATATAATAATAAAAAATAATAAATAATATACTTCAATAAAATTAATCCACATCTATCTTTCACCCTTCTCATACTATTCTTATCCCACGTATTCACCTAAAGTCACATAAATTCGCATGTAAAACCCATCGCACTTAATGTTAACGTTCGTAATATCACCCTCCAGTAAAAGACATTTGCATGAGATATGAATAACTCGGCAACAGGTTCTTCCCTCGGCAAGTACATAATACTTGTTCCTCGACGCGTTAAACGATACCGTTTCTAAATAATTTAAATAAACTGTTGCGCACCATTACGGGGTAAAAACCCCTTTTCTAAGGGGAGGACAGGGACTAACCTCGAGCTTCGTGAAATTCAAGAGCGATATGAGCATCCACACCGAGGGAGAAATAATTATTAACGACGTTTAGAGGTAGATTCTCTTTGCCCTTTCCGTTATCGTCGTCGCCCTGCGCGTCAGGATTCCTCTCGACGACCAACTGCCACCTGTCCAGCAACACCGTCTCGCTCTCTCCTATGTTTGTTAAAATTTTCCCGATCGGCTCGTCCGTGTAACCACCACCCCATCCTAGAGCCCTGGCCAGATCGTTTCCGGTTCCTAGGGGAAGCACGCCTACCGCTGGGGGTGGGGATGCGCCGATTTGATCAAGGATGGACAATACCCAACCGACGGTACCGTCGCCACCGCACGCGAGAACTCGAAGATTAGGAACTTTTTTGAATAATTCCAACCTGAAAAATGAAGAAGAAATATTTCCGATTTTTATTTTTAGTTTATTTCGTCATTGTTTGGGTTGATAAGTAAAGAAGATTTGGATGGTATTTGAAGATGGTATTGATGGTAAAATGAGAAACTGTATCAAATGAATTTCACGCGAGAATTCGAAGATTAGGAAATAATGATTACGAGAAGAAATTGATTTTTGTTTTTGTTTTTATCGTTCGAGTTATAAAGAAGTTTTGAACGATTAGGAAGATAGTATTGGAAAAAGATATATATATATATATACAGGTTAGATTGAGTTGAAAAGATTATAATAGTTTAATTGAGAATGAGTATTGGAGAATGAGAGAAAAGATAATTAAAAGTTGATTAAAAATGATTTTTGATGAAGATTAGGATAGAAAAATTACTTTAAAGTATAATTTTACATATTATAATAATAAATAAATTAATAAAAAATGTTAGAATAAAAAATATAATAGTTATCTCCATTGACTAAAATTTATTTTTTTTATTTTCTAGAATTAAATAATACAATTAATTGTAAACCAAACTGTTATGAATTATTTATTATTCAATATTATCATATGAGAGCTAAATTGTAAAATTATATTTAATATAAAGAAAAGAAAAATTAAATTATTGAAATTTTTTACTTTTATTTATGAATATTTAATATTGAAGTTATTAAATGTAATATATTGTATATTTATATGATAAATATAAATGAAATGTTCAATATTTCTACAATGTACAATGTGATTTTTATTTAATATTCTTTATTTAATTTCTGTAGCATCAGAAATAATACAAAAACATTTATATGTTTTATAATTAAACATTTTATAAATAAATATCTTATAACATTAATATAAATGATGTTCGTGTTTTAATGAATTTACATATTTAAAAATCAGAAACGAACGTATATATTTCGTAAAATGAATTTTTAACAAAAATATTGTTATGATTAAAATATCGTTAATGATTAAAATAAAAATTTTATCATAATATTAAACAAATTTTATAATAAATAAATATAAATAATTTTTCATTTAATAATTCACATAATTAAAAAATTGTAAACATTTAACAAAAAGATGAAGTTTATTTAAAAAAAAGGACATACAAAAACATTCATTAACAAGTAAATTTTAAAGAAATTTTTATCACTGTATTCACTATATTCAATTCAATTATAATAATAAAAAATTCACAGATAATTATTTAACATATCGTTAGAATACAATCAAACCGAAATGCTTCAAATTTTGAATAAAGTTTTCGAGGAAATTTCGATAATAGCGAGAAGCTCTATACTGAAAAGTTCACTTTTATTCAACCATTTCCTGGCTGCCTGCCATGTCCACAAAACTTTAATTAAATTTCTCATTCATTTATCATATTTTCCACTAAATCGTACTCTTTTCAACTAATCTAATGAACTCAATTCAATTTTCATTCAATCAACTTAATCTCTTGCCAAAATTCAGATCAATTCAAAGATGGAAAAAGCAAAGGATTTGACTCTCTTTTGAGATATTGATTCTTGAAAAAGTATTCTATGAGTTAGTTAAAGAACATGAAATTAATTACATTCATTCTATAAATTATAGTTATTAATAAAAATATACAAAAATAACATTTCATATATCAATGAATAATAAGTTTCTTTCAAATTTCATAAAGACCAAGTAAAAAAATATAATAAAATTCGCAAAATAATTAATTTGTTTCTTAACTTTTGTTAATATATATCTAATAACGTGTATATATCTGACAAAATAGTTTTTGAAATGTAAAATTGTAAAAGTTAGCATATGACAATATTCTATAAATTAGTTAAAGAAAATTAAATTGTCATAAATATCGTAATATAATATTAAAGTAATAAAGAAAAAAAATGCAAATGTGATATATGACTTATGAAAGAAAATCATAAAAATTTCGTTAATCAACTTATTAACTAATTTATTAATTAATTTATTATCTTCTTCACAAAAATTCAAAAAATCAATTTGCAATTATCTACGTAATATTACAATTCCACATATTATTTGCAGTTTCATTCTTGAATAATAACATTTTGCCATTTCAATAAATGCTGTATCAAATCAATACATTCCCCATCTCCAATTTTCTATTCTTTCCTCTTTAATTAAAACTAACTCTATCTATTCTATTCTATTAATTTAAGACATATAAAATTGAAATATAACATCCTTGTTAAAACAAATACATCAAACTTGATTATTATATGTTATATTATATTATTATTATATGTTAGAAAACATATAAAATTTATTTTTACTTATGATTCATTTAAAAGACATGTAACTTAATATATTGAAAAAATAATAAATACAACTTAAATAATATCAAAAATTTATTAATATAAAATTTTAATTAATAATAATTTAATATAATAAGTGTAAGAGTGATTCATCAAACTTCAGTTCGCAATGTGTTAAAATATTTCAATATACAATCAATCGTTTTTTATTTTTAAATTTATTTTAAAATTTTGTATAAAACATAATAAATTACACGTATGGTAATTTTTTAGTAAAATATCAAAATATGAGTAGATAAAATTAACGTTTAAAATCAAAGTTTCATTTTTTTTTCTTTTAAATATAACATTGTAGTGACACGAGATAAAGTAAAATTTTAAATTGCAAAATATTTACTTTTTAATATTCAATCACCATGTTGTGAAAAATATTTCCAAAAATGCTAAAATTTTTCAAACTCCCTCAAAGAGATTTCCTATCGACAAAAAAATTGCTTCATATATAACCTATTATACATACAACAAACTTTCAATAAAATTCAAATTTCTACGTAATATAATTCCTTCCTAATACAAAATATTTCTGTGACCTCTAAAAAAAAAAAAAAAAACGTTAAATAACGTTAAGTAACATTCTCTATAAATTTATTATTATATAAACTCACTTACCCCATTTTGGGTCCGCCTTGAGTCAGATCGAACACCTGCCTAGGATTCAACAGCCACTGAAACTTCTGCAATAACTTTGCACCTTGATTCCCGCCCGATTTCGGGTTAATGAAGACCAACACGGGTTTCACGGTGGGCGTGGGTATGGGTTTCACCACCCACAACTTCCCCTGATCCTTGTTATCTTGCTCCTTGTCCTTATCCTTCGACTTCTTTCTGCTCGACGTGCTGCCACTGCTACCCCCAGACTTCTTCTTCCTAGGCGACTTTCTCAAACTGCTCTTGAAACTGCCCTTCCTGGGCAGCTTCACGATCCAAGATGGCGGCACTATGATGGACGAATGAACGCCCAACTCGCAATTCTCGCCGATCTTCTGAACGTTGAAGCACGCCTCCTTGTTGTGGTAGGCGAGTTTGCACCAGCTGCAACTCACAGCGACGATCTCCTTCGATGTGAAGCTAAGCTTCGATTGGAACGATTTGCCGCAATTCGCGCATTTTCCCTTCTGCGAGCGGCGGTGTACCCAGTGGTGTAGAGTGTTTGTCTGTTCCCGGTATTGGCGGACCCCAACGTCCCGGAAACTCGATTTACAGGCGAAATTTAGGCTCACCGCACACACCGCGTGGGCAACTACTCGGCAGGCGGCGCATTTCATCCGGGGCCCATGTTTCTGGAATTTCGAATTAGGTTTTTGGTTAAGCGGTAATGGTAATTCGGGGTCGACCCACGAATCTCCCGAATTCGGGATAACACAGGTCGTTATCTATCGTTGGAGGATATTATATAGTATTGTACAGCGTTCGATTTATGGGAAGGAAATTTTAGCCCGATTACCTCGACTCGTATTGTTGCGCATCGCTCTTTTCTGACATCAAGCATAAATATATAAGATGAAATATGATAATAGCATTAAAATGGAAATGATATGGAAGATATGAATGGAAGAGGAAATTTGGGAAGAGAAAAAAAATGAGAATGATTAATTTTTAATTGTATTATCTTGTTTTAACTATTTTAATATTCTTCCTGAATTTTTATAATCTTCTGTTATTTTGAATCGTTATACTTATTTTTATTTCTGAATTTGTTTATAATAAAATTTATAGTTTGGTATAAAATAAAGAATTAATTTATTTATAATTTTGTAATTTTATTTCCAAGCGATTTAAAATCTTAATTATAAGCATAGGATTGAATTTAATTATTTAAACGAAAAGTGTAATGGATTTTTATTTTATTATATGAACGAGTTCATATTACACTTTAATAATATATAATTGTATTACTTGTAATAATATATTGTAATAATATTACAATATATATTACAATATCTTTGAATTCAGATTTAGGATAAAAATATAAATTGATTTGTGCTGTTGCATTTGTTTTAATCTTTTGTCTTGTAACAACCTTGTCATAAGCTTCGAAATTGGAAAATGTCATACAATTTTGATAGTTATTTATCGCAAATTTTATTTCATTACTTTTACGAAAATATATCTGAATTTACTGAATAATATCTCTATTTAAAATTTCAATTATTCATGAAATTTTAAACAAAATTAAATATCGATTTCTCGAGTATCTCTCGATTAAATTGCAAGTCAATGCGTTAACATATTTGAGATTTTATGGGAATTTTCTATTCTATGTCGGTTTGAGGCATACAAATTTTTCTAAGAAATAAAAAATAAGAGACAATTTTTCTTTCGAACTCTTTTGTATTTATTGAAAATCAATAACTCAATCATTCTTCAATTTTTAATTTCTAATGCATTAATTGTTTTTTTTTTTTGATAAATAACTATGATTATTGCGACCGTGACTTGTTCGTGTCTTGAACTTACTCTTAGATTAGATTTTAGAGATACGACAATGTTCTTATTATCTTGGCTTAACTTCGTTTTCAAATTCGAGATTCGAAAAAATTTGGAAATGTTTGCAGTTACAATTAGAGATTTAGATGTTACAAATGTGTTATTATTATTTTCTAATCCCATATTTTTTAATCTCTAAACTAATCTCTAAAACGATACAATAGAATATTATTTGAATATTATAAAATCGCGAAATTAATCGCACAAACTAATTTTATACATTATTGTCAATTCAAGAATTGAAAGAAAAAATTGCTACGATAATAAAATTTCAAATTCCGTATAATTCGTGATAATTAACAAGTGATTTTTGAAGCGAAAAATTTTGTTGATTCTTAAGTTTTTTTCGTTAATAATTTTAATTAAACGTTATTTAGATACCACACACATCAGAGGAAATTGAAACAATTAAATTTAAAAAAAAAAAACGAAGAAAATGAAAACGAAATGAGCAAATATTAATCAAGTATTTCTGGGAAAAAAAGAAAAGAAAAAAAAGAAAAAGTAAGATTCAGGGAATATTATAGAATGCTTTTAGCCACAATGGAGAAGAAAGAAACCGCAACGTATGCGACATTAGTTTAATGACGTTCGAAAACTGCAGGGGCCTCGTTAGCAGTTCTTTAATGGCATAATCGATAAAAATTGCGGCCAAGAATACTGTAATCTAACCATTCCCAAACTATTCGTTATATTATTTACTTTTCTCTTTTTCTTTTCTCTCTCTCTCTCTTTTTCTTTTTGTTTTCATTTTGAAAATCAAGCTACAATGTGTTACAAGTAACCGTTTCAATCTCTGCCCCGAGAGAAAACTTACGATAAATAGTAAAAACATAAAGCAGAGACCGGTAAAAACTTCCATTCTTTCTCCAACTATCTATCTAGCGTATCTCCATCTCCTAAAAAAACGTAACAAAAACGCTTTCGTCGATTGCAACACGCTACCAGCATAGCGTATCTCCATCCTTTGGAACGTAACGAAAACGTTTGTCCGTTGATTGCAAAAAACGTAAGATCGATGTAATGAATGCCGGGTATCGAACTATTTTCGTATTTACGTACAAAAATTTGTCCCCTATTGGAAAATCACTGACGGGCTATTTTACTGATTTACGTGGATATTAAAAAAGAAGGGGGGAAAAAAAAAATTAAAAGAAGGAAAAAAAAAAGAGAAAAGAAAAAACGCAAAAGAACGGAAAAATATTTCACACTCCCCACGAGAGAAGAGAGAGGAAGAGTCTCGAAATTGATAGTGGCGTGTGTAAACGTAGACCTGGTTGTTCTTGTTGGCCACGTATCAAACGATTTAAAAGCTTCATCGGTCCCTATTGTCTACTCGATGATCAAAGCGACAAACGATGATCACCAAGCTCAAAACAAACTGAAGCGAGCTTTATCGTATAGCTGCATAAACTACGATGATAGAGGGAGGGCGCTCTCTGCAAAATTGTGACGATTCTCGCGGATTGAGAAACGCGGTCGAGTATAGAGAGTGGTGGATTTGTAGAGGGTCAAGGCTGGTCGACAGATCCTCTTGGTCGTTTCTTGCTTCCACTTCTCAAAGAAGAAAAGCTTTTTCTTTTTTTTTTTTTTCCTCTTCCGATATTGCCCAGTCACCGCGGTTTATATTGGCCTACATGAGTCACCCGAAACATGCCTCGATCCATTACAGTCGAATCGAGCAATTTGTCCGAGATAGGGAGGATAAAAAATGAAGAAGAATGTACGAGATCCTTCTCGACGATTGCGGGAGAAGAATGTACTTTTTCTTTTTATTAAGGGAAGTAATTGGTTAATTCGCTCTTCCAAAGATGTAATTTTATCGCGAAAGAGATGGAAAGCTTTTCTTCTTTCGAAACTTTTATTCGGTCAAATTGGATCGATCGATCGATCGAGAGTAAATATTGAATATCTATCGTTTTCGTGACTTTATTATTCTCTGTGCTCGATCATCTTCCCATTTTCTTGATTGATTTGTAAAAATGTAAAGAGGAAATTTATTGTTCGTATTATTTAGATCGAATTTGTTTATTGGAGAATTTTGATCGATGAATTATGAAAATAAATATTTTTTTTTATATATTGAATAATATGTAAAATTTTTTTTTTTTTTTGAATAATATTTCTTAACACGCATGAAATCTTTTAAATCGTGTAATTTTTAACTCAAAAAAAATAATAATAATAAAAAATTAAATAGTAATAAGTAAAAATTTATCTTTATAAACGATCAATTTAACTCGAACTTTAAATTAATAGAAACGATTGAAAGGATATTATTTTTTCATATCATTTTCAAAAGAATGATCAAATAACATGTCGCAATATTATAACATGAATTAAAAAATAAATTGATAAAATGAAATAAAAGAACACAAACAATATATCCAATTTTCACAAATTTTCACCGATTCTCACAGATTTTATAAACTTTTATATAAAGCTACCATTAACTTTTTAAAAAATATTACCTCATATCTCTATTAAAATGTAAAAAAGAATCTTTCTAAATATGTGAGAGTGATTCAATAACTTTGTCCATTTTGAATACTGTTAATATTTGTAACAATAATAGCTTGTTAAATTGCTCTCAAAAAAATGTAATCATGAAAATGTCCTCAAAAAATATTTACTGATCATATTGCGTTAAACAAAAAAAAAAAAAAATCATGTAAAATTTTCTCACAAATAACAATAGATATATATTCAAGATAGACAAAATTATTAGACTATTCCGTGCATAAATCTAACAGAATCCAACCAGATATATGCATTTCCTTTGATGCAGATGGTGCACAGCAAGACAATACCAGTCGATAATCCCACTAATCACTAAATCAATAAAGCTTTAATTGCGCGAGCCCAGAATTACGCATCGAACAGAGCAACTTTATGAATTTCCTTACTCCGCTCCACACATTTTTTCCACCCAATCCAATCCACGAAACCCGTGTTATAAAAGTAGGAAAATCACCATGAAACACGAGTAACTTCATCGAAAAAAAAAAAAAAAAGAAAGAAAAAGAAAAAAATATGAGAATCACTTTGCAAATTTACCCGCGTTCGAAAACGAACGAAATGAACGAAAAACGCTGCTCGACACTAGCGCCGCGTCGCGGCGATCAATCATCTTAATAGCGTCGAAGATCGCGCGTAAAAGGAGGCGAGGGAGTGGGGGAATGGCGCGATCAACGATGAACTTAAATGGAAAACTCGACGGATGAACAGGCGCCGATTCATCAAAGTCTCAGGTCCGCCGACGGAATCAATCTTCTTTCGCTCGTTTCGGGACCGATACTCGAATTCCTGTGGAAAACGAGCCCATCGCTGACGGCCCGTGAGATTTATTTATCGCGTGGAAATTGCGACGGCGACGGGTCGATCGAAAAAATCGCGGTTAAACGAGGGAACGCTATCGTCGATTTTACGTATCGATTTGAAATACCGTCAAGTTCTGTATATATTGTTGATGTGATTTGTGAGAGCACTTTTAGAGGATCGTTTTTTTTTTTTTTCTTTTTTTGAGATTGAAACAAGTAAAATAGAAATTTATGTGTAAAAAAAATATCTTCTTGCGTCTCTATTCTTCTAGAAAACGAGATATATTAGGTTTTTATTTTTAGGTAAATCTAGAATGTTTGTATTAATTTCTTTTATTAATATTTTATGGTTCATGTCATTCACTGGTTTGATTAAGAAGAATACAGCTCCAATCAAAAATGTTACAATTATTTTTTATTAATTGTTTTTTTAATTTTATTATTTATTAATCAGTATCATATCTTTATTTGTA